ACAACTGGCAAAAATTCCTACCTAGCCACTATCTGTATGATTTTGATATTGCATGTAATCTCTCTGATTCTCATGTTTTCAATTTTCAAAATATTAGGGCTAATTAAGCAAGGGAAATAAGTTTTTTTCCTCTGATATTTTCTCTTTTTATTCTTGTGACTTAATAAAAATTACATGTTTTTAATTCAAGAAAGCAAGGTGAAACAATATTAATAGCAGTGAGCCCTTGACGTATATTAACCCATTTAATCATTAATAAGCTTTCTAAAATAACTCTTTCAGTATCCTTCTGATATTTTAAAGCCACTCCTAGGCAGCACCTAGTTGTGATTTTTTTAAACAGGCCTCTTAAGTTTCACCAAAGCTCTGATTTAGATCCAACATATGTCTGGGAACCAGAATTACAGTGACAGTCCTAATGTTCATTTGACTTGGTGATCTAATTTGCCAATCTGCTTATTTCTTTCTGGGAGATCAGCTCTATTTATATGTTTTTAATGATCTCTCATTTATACTGACAAAGCATGAAAACTAAAGGTGTGTGCTTTAAAGGTATATTAAAAGCTAAGTTTTAAAAGGGGTCTTGCTGGCACTGAATCAGAACCTGAACTGTGGTTCTCAACATATTGAAGCCTGGTTTATAAGAAACAGATCCACATTTAAGCTCAGAATTAATCCAGCTCTTTCTTTTTTCTACTTCTTCCTCTGTGTTGCACACACACAGAATAGTATTAATTGGTATCACTAGAAGAGATTTGATTCCCTTGGGTTTCCTATTGCCCTTATAAGCACTCTACCTTGGTCCTTCTTCAGGATGACTCTTTCCCAGATCTCCTCCTGTCTGGGTTCTCTGGAGCCCAGGGTGTCTTATACCCTTCCCTCAATGCAGTGATACCCATGGGAATCTCTGTCTTTTACTTCAGCCATCAAGCTAGACACCTTCATCTGGAAGGAAGGATTGGCACTGTTTCACCTTTCCCTACCTCGCTTCAGACAGATTTTCTTAGATATATGGGTCAACAACAAACACTATCTTCCAGTTCTGATATACACTGCCAAGACTGCAACCCCATCCTGTTTCCCTAGTTACATTTCCCTTCTTTCACAATGCTCCCTTTGAAACTCATTTCCTGCTAACTCTCTCAGCATTCCATCTGTTAATACTAAGCCACAATAAAACCCAGCCTCCATTGCTGATGCTGCCACTTTGACCTCCTTCCTGACTCCACACTCTGATTTCCAAATATGTGATGAACGGTTCCCTTGCATGTGTTAGTACCACAAACTCCATTGTCTTCCTATCTTAAGTCTGCTATTCCTCCAGGTTTCCATTTTCAGTTAATGGTATCACAACTTGATTATTGGATTTTTTTCTTACACCGTGTCTAATCAGTTACCAAAGTTAAAGATCCTGCCTACTAACAGTTTCATTCTTTTTAATCTATTTCCTCTCAAGTCTCCTAGCATTGCCCTAGCAAATAAGCTAACTTCCTACTTTTTTTCTACTTTCCAGAAAGCTCACCTATGGCCACAACAAGCAAATTAAGCCAGAGTTGAAACTATAATAAAAATGGAGATTCAGCATTTCCTTAAATTTTTAATTTAGGATTAAATGTTCTTTCTATCAATATTTTTTAGAATAAGTTAAATTAAACTTGATGAAATAGATATTTTTTGAATATTTTTAGAATAAGTTAAATTAAACCTGGCTAAATCTAAATGGGAATCACAGCTTGGCGACCTCCGTAAAGAACAGAATTATGTTTGGAGGTGATATAGCAACAGCTTTTTTAAGGGAAAAATGTTCATTATTTTATCATGGCCAGTGAAATGTCAGCTCAAATCACATGACATGATTGTGGTCGTATTATTTAGGTGAAGTAATGTGAGAAATAAGAAGAAGGAAGGAGTATTATAGTATCAAGTGATTCAGCACTAGCCCTTTCCCTGGTTGTTTGACCTCAGACAAGTTGTTTGATCTCTTTAAAATTAAGGTCTTTCATTTATAAAAATGACAGGATTAGTCTAAACCAGGAGTTTTAACACTGGGCCTTCATGGGCACAGTGGGGTGGGAAGGTATTGGCAACTAAGCTGGTTCTCTGGATGCAATCTTTCTTCCACCTTTCTCCCTTTCTCTGTCTCTCTCTCAAAAAGATCTGTTTAAATGTTCTACATATTGGGCTATCTCTCTTTTTAAGAAAAGGTTTTTTGAGCTAATGCCTTGTTTAAAAAAAAACAGCTCCTCTACATAAGTTTATTTTTATGGTTGCTTCCCACGCTAAAGCCTATGGTCTCAATTCATAGGTTTTTGTTTTTTATTTCTTAGAAAAATGATTCCACACATATACCATTTTAGAACGCTTTACTCTGCACATACTGTTACAGAATTTATCTGAAAAAAAGACAACTGTTCACATACTGAGGACTGGAGGAGACTCTAGGAATGAGACAGCACAAGGACTGTGGTCCTTTGGGAATCACACTTGTCCTATGCCCCGGAGAAACTGCAAAGAGAAGCTGTCCCTCTCTTCTTTGCCCTCCTCTGAGAACTCTAGCACTTTGTTTCCCTCTTCAGATATTAATTCAATTCAGCATACATGTGCCGAGGGCTCATTCAACATAAGACACTTTGTGTTATTTTTAGTTATGTGCATGACTTATTTGCACGTAATGAATGGCCCTCCTGAATGCCGCTTCTTTGATTGGAGACTTCTTGTTTCATCTCTTTCTTACTTCCCAACCCCAGTGCCTAGCACAATGCCTACAGAAGTGAGTACAAAACAGACATTCTTTGATTGAAAAAAATGCCAAAGTAATCACATTGAGAGTAGACTTCTTTGAAGATCTTTCATGATAAAAGTACCACTCAAAATTAACAGCTATGATTGAGTTTCTAAGTTTTATAGCACTTTTGCCCTTAACACTGATATTTTTTAACATTGATACTATGTCAAGTATGATGATGAAGAATATCCCATTCATGGCCTCCAAATCCTAGAAAATTTTTTGTTGCTATAACTGTGAGATATTTAAATTTTGAACAATTCCCTGAAAATTCTCAGTGGATTTTTAAGTCATTGCAATTCTAGGTTTGAGTCTGTATATAGAGAAATCTGAATACTCAGAAAGTCATTGTTATAGTTTGACATTCAAGAACTCCATTATTAAAGTTCAATTTTAATTTCACAATGAAGGTATAACTTCTGGTCAAATTGAAGGCATTAAGGTACACAGTGCATCCCTCAAAGCTACAGTGGAATTAATATTTATTTCATTCAAGTTCGCTATGTTCCTGATGTCTGAAACAGGTGAAGAGTAGAAAACAGAATGTACCATATGCTGTATTCTTTACTCCCTATCACCAACTGACCAGAAATAACATCAAATGTAACTTCGTTGTCTGATTTTTAGTATAACACAGAGCAAGAAATTTGAGCTGTGTAACACACCCAGAGTTCTACTCAACTACTGTTTTCTGACACTGAAAGAGCCAATGACAACTTCTGTAGGCATTTTCATTTATTAAACGTTGCTTAGGAATGCATTTAAGGTTTCTTTAATTTAAAGCGAATTTGTACTTCTAATTACATGAATTTCCAAGAATTTGTATTCTGTCACCTAGTATTATTTTACTGGCAGATTTACTATGGTTTACAAATGCAATATTTTGGAATCTTCTTTACCACATCATTAGTCAATTAATTCTTAATGAACTAGTGATAATATATAATGTATCAGATAACTTTCATCTAAGTTTTAAAGGTTGTATGGTATTTCTAGAGATATGCTGCTTTAAATTTGAAAAAGCTAAAGTCAGTGAAAGAGTTAAAGAAAGAATTAAATGATTGGTTATTTGTAATATTAATCATATTTTAAGAAAGCATACAAAGAGTAAGTAAAAAAACAAAGGCAATGTGTGCTCAAAATAAATTGAAAAAGTCAACCAGTGAACTGGCTCTATTACCTCTACTCAGCCAAACTGTCAACTTGACTGACTCTTTTCTCAATCAACTGAGTCTCAAACAGCAAGGAAAACAGTTACATAACTGTCAGTCATTCGGTTGCCAAGATTTATTTCTATCAAGTTTCAATAAGGTTGTATTTTATTTTGCCTTTATGGCAGTGAAGGCTTATGGGATACATTTCTCTCTGTATTAATAATAAAAATCATTCCTATCAAGACAATCTTCAACTTAACGTAGAGAAAATCAAGGACCCACAACACTCACTACAGAGAATAATGTACATTTGTGACATAAATATCACATAATAGACAGATGGGACTCTGAAATTGTAACCTTAGGCTATGTTTAAACTGAGTATCAATTGCTTATATCTATTATTCTTAACCAGAAGGCAGCAGGCATGTCCTCTGTTATTAATGTCAGCGTGTTTTATCCCCAAGGAACACATCCCTTAGGTATATTGGATTGAATTGAGAACCACTGGTATAGATAATAAGTATACTTGCATTTAGCAATAAGGGAAATAAAAAATATTTCTTTAATATAAAAGTGTATAAACCAAGAACTTTCCAGTGAGTCAAAATAAGATTTAAATGTACGATAAGTGTCCAGTCATGTTTGGCATGACTGAAATATTTGGTCATGCTGATGAGTTTATATTAGTGTTTAGAAAATTGTAAGGTAAGGGTCATATGCCATTTCCAAATCACTACAATCAGCCTCTGCAAAAACAAATCGGAACAACAGTGGAACTGAACTAGTATGTCACCAGTACATCTATCTGTTATTTACCAGGGTACCTTTATGATTAGCGCAGTGGCAAAGACATACTGGGTATTTCATAAATATTTGTTGAATCAATAAATTGGGTTGAATCTGGATAATTAGTTACTTCCATAATTGTGATTCCATTGTGAATTATAAAAGCTGATAACTTTTTGTTGCTCAATGCTCCCATGAATTTCATGAATAGAAACAACGATACAGTGATAATGGTTTGCACTGATTGACCTGTTTTATTTGTGTATTTACAGGCAAATGGACACAGTTTTGTACATATGGAACATGAAAAAGCTGTATTACTACTGAAGAGTTTCCAGAACACAGTAGACCTAGTTATTCAACGTGAGCTTACTGTCTAAATATTTTTTATAAATAGTGAAGATACGTCTAGCCAGACCTAATGTTCAAAAATAAATTTATACATAGAAACAAATTTTGCCAATTGCTGGACCAATGGCAAACATTAGTGCCAAATGTATAATACTATATGTTAGCACTGATCATCCTTAACAATGTTAACTCTATAAATATGATGTTCATGTGGTTATGTATTAGTTTTAATTGTCAGCCTCTGGCTGTGCATTGGTGCAGTTTTGTTTCTGTTTTTGTTTTTGTTTTTAATCAAATAAGTTTCTTCTCAAAGTGAATTTCATATAATTTCGGAGCACGGAAGCACACACAAGCTCTTTATGAATTCTGCTCTCCATCAGAAACACTGCCTCAAAGTTGTATATGCCTTTATATAGAAAATACAAATATAAAGAATTGTAATTCCCATGAAATATTTCTAGCACAAGGTATATGTTGGCATATATACAAAAAGAATATAGAGAAAAACAATATTTTCATAAACTAAACATCTCGGATAGAGAAAAAATATATCTTAAAATAAGACTTTACTATATTGAATCTTTTTCAATAAAAATTACATGATAATGCCTTATGAAAGTAACTGTACATATGGTATAAAGTGTTTATATTTGGTTCCATATTCATTTGCTAAATTCTCATAACACAGAGTGAAATATTTCATAAATTAGCCATTTATCTCTGGGACCCGAATAAAAATAGGATGAACTAATTTGTTCAATGCCTTTAGCTAATTACAATACATGCGGCGTTTAGAAACAGACTAAAGGACATTGTAGTTAAGTCTTTTTCACCACAAATTTAAGCAGTGGATGATGGGTGGCAGGAAAGGTATTGCTTTATTTCTTTCAAGTTTATGTTGATTATAAACTGTAGCCCCCGTGATTTCTTTACTTGTAAATGTGGAATTTATTTGTGTGTTGCTTAATCTAATTTGCTACTTTTAAATTATTTAAAATTAGCTTCAGAAATTGATAAAATTTATCATTAAGAAAGACTGCTGTTAGAAAGTAATGGTGGGTAATTTTAAATCCTTGGTATTTAAATATGAAACTTCAAATATAATTTCTCAGAGCTGTGGTTTACCTGTATTATTAATTTAAATGGCTGTTCTTCTGAGCAGAAATAGATAAAATACTTTTTTTTTTTCCAAAAACTGTTTCAAGGTATGTAAAATCCTGAATGCTTTCTCACTGGAGAGAAAGACAAGAATGGTTAATGTAGAATTATTTACTTTTCCATTGAAACTACTTTCCTATATAAATGATCAAAATTTATTTTATAATCCTTCAAAATATTTATCTTTCATATTAGTCATTAGTTTGATTGCAATATTAATTTGAAATTCCAGGATAATTTCCCAGAGTTGTTTGCATGCATTCTCTTTCATAATTTCACATAATTCTTTTGTTATATAATGAATTTACTTTACATGCTAGTGTTTCAAGTATTGTATGAGGATTTTCACAGTAGTATCACTTATCAATGTCACCAAAGCTCTGAGAATAATATTTGTAAGTTAATTGTTTTATGGGGACATTGAAAATATTGTATTTTTGTAGGGCCTATTAAAATGAGTGTCACTTATTAGAAGTACAGTGGTATTTTTTGGCAATAGAATTTGTCACTTGAAGGCAAATAATACTTCACTTTATAGATGATGCACTAATTTTGATGTTGCTTTATGTCAAGGTGACATTATACCATGATTTTATAGGGTTCGATAATTAGCTAATGATTAAATGATTGGCCTATTTAATATGTTTCCCAGAAGTAACTTTTAAATGCATTTTAATTCATTGAGAGTTTCAGGTGAGAAATGTATTTCAGAGCCTAATTTTCTTTGTTGAAAACTCATGTCAAGCCACCATGTCCAGATGTCATAGGATGATCATCATTAATCAAGATAGAGGCCTTTACTAGCCTCATAAGATTACTTAAAGAAAAAACAAACCCATGGCTGTAGTTTGGTGGCAAAGAAACATCTGAAATCATCCCATCAGTTTTTCTTAGTCTTTTATGGGAGGAGAGGGAGAAGAGCCAGATATATACCTGCCCCAAGTCTTTTTCTTATGTCAGGTTTCTGCATCAAACCCAGGGCTTCAGGACATCCTTCTGAGGTACACAGCTGAGAGGATCATGATCCTCATAAACACCTCTTCCACTACTGATGTGACAACATTGTCCTGAGCCACTACTTTAGTACTTCCTGTGCTGCAGTTCAGAAATGAGGAAAAGAGAGAAGGGATCCTTGACCAACTGGAAAAGTTACCTGATATGCCAAAGCACCTCACTGTCAGTTGTACTGCCATGTTGCATACTGAGAGCAGGCAGGTCATAATGAAAAGAGGCAGGCCAGGCGCGGTGGCTCACACTTGTAATCCCCGCATTTTGGGAGGCCAAGGCAGGCAGATCACTTGAGGTCAGTTTAAGAGCAGCCTGGCCAACATGGTGAAACACCATCTCTACTAAAAATACAAAAATTAGCTGGGAATGGTGAGGCATGAGAATCAATCGCTTGACCCAGGAGACAGAGGTTGCAATGAGCTGAGATCATGCCACTGCACTCCAGCCTCGGCAACAGAGTGAAACTCCATCCCAAAAAAATAAATAAATGTAGAAAAGAGGCAATATTTTTTAGGTCTATGGAATAGAATTACTAAGCACTTGAGGGGGATAAACCTAACAGATTCTATAGGTGATGAAAACCAATTATACATTGATTTTTGATTATTGACTTTTTGCAGTAACTGGTTTTGCTGCCTGAAATTAAAAACTGGTTCATTTTAACAATAAAAAAGAAAAGTCAAGGGCTTGCCTTTAAAAAAAAGAAAAAGAAAAGTCAATAACAACAAAAGGACTGGAATTCATGATGGCTCCAATAGCCTCTGCCTCTTGGTCTTCAATTTTTATTGGACTCTGTCTGCCGAGGAAACTGTTTATTTGTGATGAGTCAGTGAGATCTAATGGAGGAGATGGAGAATGATTAGAGGTGGAAAGAGCAAGTGATGAAAATTACTAGTAGAACTGCTGCAAATTTTGCAAAACAAATAGACATTAGTGGACAATCTTTTTAACTATTTACAAGGCTTGAAATATTTTGTCATAAAAACTCTGCTATGATAACTCCAGCCTTCTGACAATACAATAACCTAAACACACAGAATAACTTCAAAGTACAAGTGCATTTTTGACAAGGAATATTCAAACTCACTATGAAATACAAATATTTACATTACACTGATCTGTTGCTTATTGAAGCCTTATAAAAGATATGTATCTCCATTACTTAGAATTGTATTAGGTTGCTGCAAAAGTAATTGCAGTTTTTACCATTGAAAATAGGGGCAAAAACCGCAATTACTTTTGTACCAACCTAATACAGATGTAAAACCATCTGAATTGTTTCTGGACCTTACCTTGGATCACAACCTTTGAGATGGAAAACAGCTTTAAGGAGAGACTGACAAGCCAATGTTAATTTGCTTTTAATCTTAAAGATGATCGCACACATATCACTAATGTAATTGCTTATTTAAAAATAGGACTGACATATCTTTCAACTGGCGTGAGCTAAAGAGAGAGAGAAGATTCAGAGGGGAGAAAACATGGAAGAAATTAGATTTATATATTCAGATATTAAATGAAAAGTATCTGAATTTGTCAAAATGGTTAGATAAAAAAACATTTTATTTTTAATCATAAAATCTATTTAATATATATTTAATATCTATTAATATTTAAGCTTTCCAATGTAAAGCTTTGGAAAACATAGTGTGCTTGGCACTTTGTCTTTCCATTGTCTCTTAATGCTATCCTTAATGAATTTCTACCCTTCATTGGCACATAGATCAAATATGTCTGATCAATATATTCTTATCAAGAGACAAGAATACAACATAACCAGGTCAAAAGCCACACTGGTATAGGACTGCCACTCAAAGTCTTTGATAAATGCGATCAAAGAACACGTTTGACTGATTTCTGATATGCTGACCCAACAGCAAGTTTTTTGGCAAACTGGGTCAGTAAAAAGTTATGCAAATAATGAAATCCAATACGTTAAGAAGATGGGTCCTTTATCTGGTATAAAGAAAAGCAGGGTTGAAGTTCTACTGTAGTTCCTTTCACAGAAATGCTAAATCTTACCAAGCTTAATTAAATGCTCAAACTCTGGGTTGGTAATATGTCCTCTCTTCATATTTGTAGCTACCTGGTCTTCTGGGACTTGGGGGAAAATCTCCAGATTAGTGATCACTTGCATGAACATTTTTCCTTAGCAATACAACCACCTTCTTTTAAGAAAAGCATCTTTCCTTGGCCCAGGATATTTCCCATCACCCACCAAAACCATACTCAAAGAATACATTATAGCAAGAAAACAGCGTGTGGGCTGTGGACAAATAGATGTGCACTACGTAAAGCACATGGGTTAGTATTACAGGAGATCCTGAGTGTCAGCTCCATTTTGATCTAAACTATTCAGGGAATGTATATTCCAAGACGCACCACTTGTACAAACTAAGGTAGATGCAATCAAGTTTTCCAGTCATATCCTGAACCTTCTGGGAGCATTTCTGACCTGTCTTCATTGCTGCAGTTGCTGCTGTAGATCCATCCCTCCAACTCCCCCTGTTTTCCGAAGGCAGTGGATGTCTGCTTCTATTCTGCTGAAACAAAGATAAGAGGCCCCCTTCAAGTGATAGCTGTTCCAAGAGCCTTGAGTATCAACAGATAGTTACAGTTCCCAATTTGGGAAGAAATTTCTTGGGTGATCCAGGAACCTGGTGTAGTAACATTAACCAAGGCCCAAAGATGGAGTACTTACAATGTTACTGACAACAGCAAACAAAGCTTGTCTGCAATGGTGAGGGTGGCAATGCCTTTATAAAACTGTTTTCACTTCTGTTTTTAAAACATTGGATTTTGCTGGATTGAGGGACTTTCTCTAAGCCTCTCAGCTGCTTCTTACTGGGACATGTTCCAATCTTCCTTACTTTCAACACTGTCTGCAAGAGAATGGTTTGGAAACACTCCCTGGTAAGGATATAAATTGCCCAGCATCTACTTTGGAGAATTCAGATACTTTTTAAAAACTGAGGAGGAACATCTACTCTAAGTTTTTATTTAAAATACATACAGTTAAAGTATAGGAATATTGAATCCCTTGGATTTTAACCATGTGATTATGTCAATCTTCTCTGAGAACAGTTCTATTGAAAGTAAAGAGAAGAGACCTGAGAAAGGAGACATAATTTACTGATTAACTTCAGAGGCATTTCTTTGGCTGGTAGAGTCCTCCCAGTTGGGTTCTGTGTAGGGCAGCTCATGCTTTTTGTAACACACTGAGCCCTGAGCAATGTAAGAAATGGGCCTGGATTAAGGCATGCAGATATGAGGCTATCTCTGCACAAATTGTCTGCAAAACACTCCTTTTGTGCCTAATTTTGTTATGACAGCACCTCAAAAATTAGAAGGTTGTGAACTTAAGGCAACATTGATGTAAAAATTACATGACTCTTACCAGTCTAATGTTGGGAATACTACAGAGTCCTACCCAAAGACAAGGTCTGGGCCAGATTTCTGCAGCTGAGATTTTCAAACCAGGTCTAATTCTCTCTTCTCCTTAAAAAAAAAAAAAAAGGAGAGAGAGACTTACAATTCTTTTTTTCATTTATGTTACTTATTTTATTTTATTTATTTATTTTTTGAGACAAAGTCTTGCTCTGTCACCCAGGCTGGAGTAGAATGGCACTATCTCGGCTCACTGCAACCTCCACTTCCTGGGTTCAGGCAATTCTCATGCCTCAGCCTCCTGAGTAGCTGGGATTACAGGTGCATGCCACCACCCGGGCTAATTTTTTATTTTTAGTAGAGACAGGGTTTCACCATGTTGGCCAGGTTGGTCTCAAACACCTGGCCTCAAACGATCCACCTGCCTCAGCCTCCCAAAGTGCTGGGATTACAGATGTGAGACACTGTGCCCAGCATTTCTTCATTCTTTAAACTAGCATAAATTTCACTGGGTATAGACATTGGTGTTAAAAAACAAGTTAAATGAATCACCCAATCTTTCTCTAGTTTTGAAAGTATATTTTTTCTATCACTGTTGTACAAGTGTATTGCTTGTGCTTATTTTTTCCTTCTTCAAAATAACAGGTTGAGTAAGCAGCCTAATAAACAGCCAAGTATCTTTACATCCAGAGTAAAATATCTTAGTACAGGAACTTTGATTTTCATAGCAAACTCATGTATTTCCTCCACAGGAAAATATTTACTGTAGCAGAATCTCCGAAGCCTAAAGTGCGTTATTTATAAATTCAAAACACTTGGAGACATTTCATTGAAGAATATAACAAAAACATTAAATATGATGATTATAAATGTTGAGATAAATATTTGTTGGGCATCAACTACATATCAGGTACTACAAGGGATATAATGTGATCTCCTCAGCACAGAATCTCAGTCAAGAGGAAAGATAAGAGAAGTTCCAGATCAAAGACAGTACAAGGCAATGTGGTGAGTCCCTCTGTTCCTGCCCTCAACCAATCGTATTGCAAAAGGAAATAGAGTCTTTATCTGGTCAAATCTGTTTTGGTCTGAGCATGGTTTGTTCCATTTGGAGCTGCAGATAGGTCTTCTGCTGGTTCCTGTGACCTTCATACAGCTCACACAGAGTGTCACAATGCCAGGCATGGTGGTTCATGCCTGTAATCCCAGCACTTTGGGAGGCCGAGGCAGGTAGATCACGTGAGGTCAGGAATTCAAGACCAGCCTGGCCAACATGGTGAAGCCCCAACATATTTCATATTCATAAAAACATGAAAAATTAGCCAGGCATGGTGGCACGCGCCTGTAATCCTAGTTACTGGGGAGGGTGAGGCAGGAGAATTGCTTGAACCCAAGAGGTGGAGGTTGCAGTGAGCTGAGATCGTGCCACTGCTCTCCAGCCTGGGTGACAGAGTGAGACTCTATCTCAAAAAAAAAAAAACGTGTTACGAAAAGTGTGAGCTGGATGAATACTTGCCAGGATTTAGGTCAGCATTTGATAGGCTAGATCTGAAAAGTGTGAATACCTTACTAGACAAGATAAATAGCAACCAGAATCTCTTGAATCTCTGGAAGAGAAGCAAGAATTTTGCCAATCTGTCTGTTCTAAAGACGAAAGGGGATGAAGAATGGTGTCCCTCAACTTGGTCCAGCACTGTGTCTGTATGCTCCTGACATTGTGGGAGAAAGAGATGGAATTCAACTCTTTAAAAGTCATGGGGGGGGTGCTTGAAAAGAGTGTTCTAGGTTCAGTGGCCCCAAAAAGTCCCCCCTATGACCACTGTCAGGGAGTGTGCGCATCCATGCTATCCAATATTAGAATGACCCACTCAGAAATGCAAGGAGTTGAACAATCATTCAGCTGGCTGCATTTCATGTTTATTAACTTTACTTTTTGGGTGAAGAATATTTTCACTGCACACTGCTCAAGTGATCCCATGAAAATGCTGTTTGCATGAGATTGGATCACACATATCCATATATCATAAACACTCTTCCAAGGAATTCTGGTTCTCTGAATCTGGAAATTGGTTTTATTTTCTTCTCCCTATGCATATTCAGTGTTTTAGACACATATAAAACCTTACTTCTCTGAGTATTCACTGTACTTACTTCTCTGAGTATTTCAGCTTTTGTCTACACTATCACTCTATTGGAATGCCTTCCTCTCCCTATTCCCTTTCTAAATTATTAAAAATCATATGCAGCCTTAAGAGCCCAGCTCAAATAGCACTAGAACAATGAAACCCTCCCTAACCTTCATGGAAAATAATTTCTGTACTGAGCACTACCATATTAATTTTTTCTTATATTTTTTAGTATCTTTCCCATTCTTCCTGAAGGCATAGCTATTTGGTGTTTGTTTTTCTTATGAACTTTAAGCTTCTCAAGAGAGAGGATCAGACAATACTTAAGAAAGGCCTTCTAGACAGAAGAGCCTCAGGAGAGGTAAAATGGCCAGATGTTTTGTTTACCATATATCCTTAATGCCTGTCATAGTGTCAGAAGCATAGTATAGGTTCTCAATAAATATTTGTGTAATGATAAAGTGGATGGCACATTGTGCACTTTATAAATACTGAATTAAACAGCAAGTTGATGTTCAGTTTGTATAACCTTAAACTACCAACCTTTCATTTACTCAGTTGACTCACAATTCCCAGTTTTTTTTAAAAAAAAATCTCCTTTTTAAATCAATCTTCTTCAGCATTTTTCTAAGATATTTTTCATCTTTTCTGCTGTGTTTCAGCAGCTACATTTAATTTTCCTTTTATGGTGCTCTAAGGACCTTAACACTATCCAAAAAGTAACACTATTCACAAAGTTTAAGAAGTGGCTTTTGTTTATTTAATCGGATTAGATCATATCTATCCTTTTGATTTTCTTTGGTTTTATTTCTCTTCTGAGAAGTCATGCACATTGTGAGTTGGTAGATTACGTTACCTAAGCAATTTTTACAATTCGGAGGTGAAGATAAAAAGATGTCATGAGAGAGACAGGGCTACAGAACTGTAGCTGGGAGAAAGGGGTCTCCACCCCCAATTTAGTTCTAAATTTTAAACTGTTGCCAAATGCTGCCTGTCCTATTAATAGATAAAAGAATACTCTGTCCACAGGCCTTTGGCCACAGTTGAGCATGACAATGTTTACACACTGCATTTTGGCATCATTTTATGAATAGTTCCCACCCTCTATATCCCCGAAGTGAAGATGTCATATAGTTCAGCCAAAATTCTCAGGCCACTGTAAAAGCTATATAATTGATATGATTAACTATTTACATAGAGCACAGAAAAAATCAGGGTTACCTTGACAAAACCATATTCCCCCTCCCAAACTTTTATAAAGAGAGAATCTGACCTGTTGATCTCAAAGTGGAGAGCATGCTAATTATACTGTCATGAACATTGGCTTCATTAGATCCTTCTCTTGAAGGGACAAAAAATGGAATCCAGCCCCTTAAAAGACAAATGATATCTAAGTGGGAATCTCATGATATCTAAGAGCCCCGGGTTGGGAAGCTCCTAACCACAATCCCTTTATTACCTCATGGGACCTTAATTTCAAGTAAAACATTTCTGTCTTAGCTTTCTCACAAAAATATTTCCCATGTCTTTCTATTTGCGTTTCATAGCAATGTGACTCTAGAATTAAGTGAAATATTCCCAAACATTAAATGTTTTGTCATTGACTCTTTTACTTATACTATTAATATTAATTACCCCTATTCTACCTCTGCTTTTTAATTTCTTTTTATCAGGAGAACTTGGTAACTATCAAGTTAATTATGTCTTCTTTTCATAAAATTTTGGATTTAGAAATATTTAGATAAAGTCATGAGTGTATCTTGAAGGAAACAGCCACCATTGCTGTATTTGATAGCATGATGCCTCAAACTCTCCAGAGGCCCTCTCTTTGGTATCTTATAGCCCAGTAGACACACATTTACACAGGTAAAAGAATGCCAGTGTCACTTTGAGCAAAAATGAATGAAAAATGAACTGGGAAAGTGCAATGTTGAAAGAGTGACTTATCCTAGGATAGTAAGAATATTTTAGAATAGTAAGAGTACTTTAATCAAGTATTTTTAAGCAAGAGTACTTTAGGATGATGAGTGAGTAGGAACAAGAAGAGACTAGGGCTGGGAAAGAGGGAAATTAGTAAGTTATTAAGGAGGAAAGAATGAGAGACAAAAGAAGGGAGAAAGAGGACTGATACAGAGAATCAGAGAGAAACTGGATAAAGGAAATCAGATCCAGGTATACCCTCCAGTCTCTTGGTTCTGGTGAGCATACCCCTTCTTCAGACAGCCCTGAATTTCCTTCCTTTCTCTCTGCTCTCTCTTGACCAGAAGAGTAATTGTTCAGCTCCTCTTGGCTTCTGGCTTCCCTCCTGCTCTTCCAGGTGTCAAAAAAAGAAGTTACAATGAAAAATGAGGTACATATTAGAAATATATTTAGTTTAATTGCTGTTTATTTCTAGAAACTATTTTTCTAATGTCATAGGTAATGTTTTAGTCATGCAACTTCTCAGAACAAGGAAAATCACTAAAAGTCATCTCATTAAAAAAAAAATTACCAGAGTACTTTTCTTAAATAAAGTCTAATATCAAACAGTGTGGCCATAGGTAAAAGTTATGTGGAGAAAGGAGCAAAATTATTTTCCTATCATAAGACAGAAAAGGACCTCTAGAGGATCTGGTTCATCTATCTTCAGGGAAGAAATAATGCTATCCTTAAATTCCTCCAGAGGATTGGTGAACATTTCCTTCTGTAACCCACACTTATAAAGTAAAAAATTGTGTTTCATGTCAATAAAATCCTCCAGTTTAAGTCACCACGTGCAAGTCTGACAGATACTATCCTCATATTTAGTTGTACACATCCACATATTTTTTTTAAAGAAACGTGTCTGCAGTTCAGAAGAGTCACCACTAGATGGAGACCTCATATCTACATTTTAAATCCCAATCTTGGCAATTCTCTAGCTTGGGTGAGCACAGGCTCTACACAGTCCGGTTTTTGTTGGTGTTGTGGGAATTTTTGTTGTTGTTGTTTTGAGACAGTCTCGCTTTGTTGCCCAGGCTGGAGTGCAGTGACGCGATCTCGGCTCACTGCAACTTCCGCCTCCCGGGTTCGAGCGATTCGTGTGCCTCAGTCTCCCGAGTAGCTGGGACTACAGGCGTGTGTACCACCACACCCAGCTAATTTTTGTACTTTCAGTAAAGACAAGTTTTCTCCATGCTGCCCAAGCGGGTCTTGAACTCCTGGGCTCAATCGATCCGACCGTTGCGACCTCCCAAAGTGCTGGGGCGGCCCTACACAGTCCGTTTTCATGCCCCTTGTGCTGATATAATTATTAAGAACAACCCTTTCCTTGCTCTTTTGAGAAAATTTGAAATAATGCTCTAAATCTACACAATTTAAGACAAAAAAAAAAAAAGCTTTGAGCTTATTTTAAGCAGTTTATATATTTTTTTACTAAACCTCTCAGGTTGTATTAATCACACCAAACCTAATGACACAGAAACCACTCTCTCAGTAAGTCTTGGGTTACTGTATGTTTAGTTTTGATGTTCCTTAATTGTTCAGTTTAATTATTATGCCCGCCAGTTTAATAGTTCTTCTCTAACTTGTGTTTTCCAAATATTTTGCTCCTATCTCCAATTATTTTAGCCACACTTCCTTCAGGTATGCCCAAGTATATGGGAATAGATTTGCCTCAAGTCACTCAAAATTTATTTTTAAAGTTAACTTTCCAAAACATAACCATCAGGAACGGCCGTTAAGTTTGCTCTTAGCCTTCTTTATGTAATTCTAAAACTAGTCCAATCTGAATATGTGTGTATCTGGGTATAGCTTTATTTTCATCTGGCAATAACTAGGCATCTACAATAAACTCCTAATTTGTCATTTTATTTATGTATATAATCGGCATTTCAGATAATCAGATTTCATCTTGAAGTGAATAAGAAATGTATTTCAAAATGTCTCTCATAAAGTGATCACTGGATTCCCAAGATAGTTCACAATCTCCCCAGCCTCTCTCCTTTCAGTGAGAATATCTGGGTATTGAAGGCAGAGAACCCCTGGCAGCCTTCCTGACATGTGTCCTCAAGCTATTTTGGTTCTTAGTCATTTGAAATTCCAGGGCCTCTGATGGCTGGATCATTGCTAAAAAGGCCAAATGTTTTTGTTTACTTCCTCTAAGCTAATTATATCCTCACCCTCACAGCTTAGCCAGCCTCCTGGTCTGGGCTTCTCCTTTGCTAATTCCATCAAAGCCCTACTTATTTATGGGTTTCAGGTGTTCCTCTGCCAACCATTTCATCTTTTTTTTCTTCCAACCAAGAGCAAAGGTAGAGGGAAGACAAGGTGTTCTTTTCCAAAGTGTATGTGAAACCATTTATAGCCTCTGTTGTTTCCCTAAAAAAAAAAAAAAAAAAAAAAAATTTCCTTCTAGCCACATGACCACAAGATACTAATACAAGGTACTCTTTCTTAGCAAACTCAATTCAACCTTCTTTGGGGGTTAATATTTTATAAGCTCTTTCTGACCTCCAGCCTGCCAATCTCAGTGCACTGTTTTGGGTTTGCTTATCGAGTATTCTTCCTTTCTTTTCACAGAAGTTAAATATCTCCTTAACAAATTTAAATTGTGCGCAACAGTGCCACCCATTTTAAAGCAAATACAGCAGGTGTCCACCATTGTTTTGGATACACCTTTAGAGTTTTTGATTTGCCTAGTTTTCTATTTCATCTTTCTTATTCCTTCTATTTTCCATAACCTTGTAATGATAGGTTTAGTTGTAAAATCCAGAACTAAATACAATAAAAATCAGATAGAATTGTACTGAGATTATAAGAGATTAACTTCTTGAAAGTCCAATTGTGCTTTTTGTTTCTTTTTTCCTTTCTTTTCTTTTACGCTACCTCCAGATTTTTGTTATCAACTAAATGTTTTTTCTTTGTACTCAATGGATAATCTTAACTTCGTTATTCCCAGGGGCAACCTCTAGGTGAGTGCTTGCTGTCCAGCCACTAGCATAGTTGGGCAAGATATGATCTACTCAAAGCACAGGGGCTTATGGCTTATTGTTTTTACGTTTTTACCCATCTCCATGCTATAGTGTAGAATAAACATCATTTTTTAGTTCTGTCATGATTTAAGGAGGTTGAGAAGCTCCACGTTTAGGTACAACAAATGGGAATATCATCTAGGCTGGGCTGGGGTGCAGGACCCCCAGCAGCTGTGGGAAGAGAAGAAAGCAGAAGAAGCTGTCACTTAAAATGCACTGGGGTGCTTTTGAAACATTCCTTGTACTTCTCCCCTACCCCAATCCAAGGGTGCTGGTTGTCCAATTGTGTCACCACCCTGACAAATAAGTGAATAACTGTCACATTCAAGACTTCACTTTTATTGATGTTCACTGCACCAGTATCTGTAAAAGAGAAAGTTGTTAGATAGTGGACAAGTCCCATTCTCTAAATGTGATTTTTTTTCTCCAGGATATCATCATCCAAACTATTCTTGCCTTGTAATATTTGTCTATACCGTCTTGTTTGTTTTAAACCAGCCATCTTTGATAGTCAGTTTTTGAACATAAATCTTCATCCATATTTGTAGAATTGTTCATCTAAGCAACAGGTATCCTGCACTTGATAAGCTCTCACAGTCTCATTATGATAAAACAGATATTCCAGCAGGCCATCACTGATATACTCTTTATAAAACCATGAATGTTGCTAGCAAACAGTTGAGGAATTTGTTTGTGGCTGTTTCCCAGAGAAATTCTAACTTGGGAGTTAATATTTGTGTGTGTGCGTGTGTGTGTGTCTGAGAGTGTGTTTCTATATATCTCATCAGGTACTTTTATCTTTTGCATTTCCACATATTTCCCCAAAAATGATAGTTACTATCCCTGTCATCTAAGGCCCTAGGACATTATAAACTACTCAAAGGTAAGAGACTATATTTTCTTCTTTTGCTTGGTCTTGCCATAAATATGCCCAGCAGGTTCACCTATAACCCCAAAATATATACTCGTATTTTGAATATTCATCCAGACCTGTAGGTTTGAAAACAGAGGTGTTTAAGTAATTATCTTGTAAGTCCGCCTCTGGACCATTCCAAGGTTTGTCCTCTAGCCAACCTATATGTTTATCCTTTTTGAAAAAAGTATTAAACTGTTAAAATAATTTGTCTTTTTCTCACTGTGCATTCAATTTAACATTCACTAACATATGATAATGAACAAGGGGTCATGTTCAAAATTCTATTACAAGAACAGTGGAAGATACAAATACAAATAAGCCATGGTCCTGCCCCTCAAGAAACAGTCTAGTGGGGAGACACCCAAAAAGTCTAATAAATGCTAGGTACAAAATATGAGAACACTGTTTTGTCGCCTTCTCTCACAGTCTAATAAAATGGCAAATGCTTCCTGTTTATTGCTTGTCTAATGCCTTTTTTTTTCCGAGACAAGTTCTTGCTCTGTCATCAGGTTGGAGTGCAGTGGCATGATCACAGCCCACTGCAGCCATGACTGCCTGGGCTCAAGTGATCCTCCTGCCTCAGCCTCCTGAGTAGCTGGGACTACAGGCTTGTGCCACCCCTCCTAGCTAGTTTTTTGTTTTTTGCAGAGGCAGAGTCTTGCTATGTTGCCCAGGCTGGTCTTGAACTCCTGAGCTCAAGTGATCCTCCCCCTTCAGCCTTCCAAATTACTAAGATTATAGGCATGAGCCACCATGCTCAGTTCTATTGCTTTTATAATATGACCTAAGGAACACTTTTCTGTTATCTCAGGAATGAAAGTTCTTGTCCTTTGTGTATGTATCTTGTCAAAAAGGACAAGGCTCAGGTGACAGTGGGGATGTAAATAACTGCATTATCATCCTGAATAAATCATATCATGGAGAGATAGTCACAGGCTAGCTAAGCTCTAGCTTTCGACTTTCCTTTGACTCTCTTTCCAAGGAGTCGCATTTTTGGGTCAAAGTCAGAGGAGGCTTGCGGGAATCAAGAGCAGCTCCTCCTTCCTGGAGGAGGGGACTTCGTCTTAAGGCTTGATAACAAAGCCTTTCTGTTCCACTTGAAGGGATCGATCTGAGGGAAGAAGAGAATAGAGTTAACCTGTAGTGTCCCTTGAAAGCTTTGCTTTAAAATAATTCATTTGTGTTTTAAATAAGAAAAATGTACATACATCTGGTGGACTTACTTGCATATTTTTAACACTTACCATGCACCTACTTATAAGGAAAATATTATACTCTTTACCGTTAGCAAACGCTCCACTACTGAGGGTTGTTTTAAGTCCCTAATAGGACCCATTAGAGTTCAGTAAGAAATGCAACTTGAACAGTCCCTAAGATAAAATTTTCTAGGAAGTAAAAAACTAAATGCCTGAAACTATGCAGACACAGATCAAGTCTCATGCACGTCATTTAAACAGACAGCTGAAATGCTGACACGGCCTATCCAGCCAGAGCCTTCTCTTAAGAGTTCTCCAGTGTTGACAATTTCAGCTGCTCTAGCAGCCTCTAAGCACTAAAAACTGTAGCCATCTAAATCCTTACAACTTAGGTAAGAATCTCTTTAGAGATTACATTATACCAGCAAGAGAATATGAATAGCACATATGGCTTTATTTGCAACAAAATCCCAGAATTTTTGCTTGCTCTTTGAGGTTAAAATCAAAGATTTTTCACTCAGGATTAGCCTAGCTGTAGAACAGCGACTGTATAATAAAGATGAGTTCATAAACTGTATGAGTTCAGTTATGGTCCGGAAAATTTGCTGCCATTTTGTGATGAAGTGTTTGGTTTTTCCTTGTAGAAACTTAGTGTCATTGTACATCAACTTAGAAAATATGAATTTATTAAAAATATGCGATGGATTATGCAGCATGCTTACATTTGAAAATGGAGACTGTGCCTTTAAATAGTTAAAGGACTCCTGACCTTCAAATATCAGTTTGGGCATATTACTGGAGATCCAGGTTGAAAGGTGTTGAAAAAAAAAGTTCCATATTTATGTATAGTCAGTGGTCAACATGGAGAAGCCATCTTTTTAAAGAGATCAGTTCTGTAAAGCATAATGCCTACTACACAGACATCATTATTCTACTTATAAGTCTGTTTTTTAAATTCCAAATACCTGTGGTAGTAGAGAGCAATAAATATTCTAAAATGAGGGCTATTGGTCCTTTTGTGACTGAGCTATATGATAAACCAAGGAAAACTACCAAAGTTATGTGTATAACTCTTTAAGGTACACAATATAGCAGAGAATCATTTAGACAACTTCATAGAAAGTTGAGAGGATTAATCAAATTTTTTAAAACTTTTCAAGGAGCCAAATTTAATTTCTCAATACCCTATGAGATTTTTTGTTAACTATTTTAGATTCTTGTCTGAAGAATGCATAAATGTAATAAAACCATTAAATACGGTAGTATCTTGTGGCCTTTCTGTGTGGCGGAGCTCGTTTGTCCAAGGTGTGATCTACCAGTGCTCACTCGTAGTGAGATCAGTGCCAAATCATAGCAAAAGCTAATCATTCTTAGTTTAATCCTGCCCAGCTAGTCTTCCTCCAGGCATCAGCTACCTGAATTTAAAAGACCATATTAGAAATGAAAAGTAGTCTCTCATTTATCATATGTCAAATTCAAAGGTATAGCTGCTTGTGAAGACTGTATTGTTTTATTTGCCTATCTCAGAAAGAGGTCTGCCTACCTGTCTTTAGGAAAAAGCAATGCTTTGTGTAGCTTCAATTAGTCCTGCATCAGGTTATTTTAATATTTCCTACAGCAAAAACCAAGCACATAAGTCTCCAATCCTGAAAGTCACTAGAATATTGACATAAGAAATTCTGTGTCAGCAATATCACAAATATTTACACCTCATTTTGGGTCCTGCATGTGTTACCAAATTGGCCTCCAAACAGCAAGTGATAGAAAATTCAGGTGTTTTATTGGATTTCAGAATTGAGATTCAAAATTAAGTACTCTTGGGATAAAAGAAATTAACGAGCTTTTGACATTTCAAGAACCCACTTGAGATTCTCAAAGGCTTCATTCAGTAAGGAACTCTAATGAATAGATCAGGAAGTCATACATGAGAAAGAAAACAAGCATGTCTAGTGAAAGCTATGCCCACTGAGCAAAGAGCACATTTTATTCAGACTATTTGTATTCAGATGTACCCTAAAGACAACTATGCTATAATGCGTTTCTCCTACTTCCGGGCCTCTAGCCCTACCCATTGCACAGGTGGACATTGTTTTTAGTTTTTTCTTTGTGGGTAAGGGAAAAAGAGGACATCAGGTGAAGAGTGCCATTACTATTTAAGAACTAGCTGTGCAGGAAGGGTTAAATCAAGTCCTTTACAGGGTGATCTTTTTTCCATCTCCTTAGGGCGACTGCATTTCAAAATAGGCCAAAGCTGAAGTCATAGGAAGAATTAATTGCAGGTTTTCAGGAAACAGCCTTTTGGAAAGCTTGGGGACACAGCAGGTAGTCTCCCTAGAGCCTTTGAAAATACATGTCGGTCCTTCTCAGATTAGGCCGAAACTCCAAATCCTTGTTAAAGGTTTTCCTGGAATTCTACAGTCTGGTTTGATCAGTTTATTATTAAGTACTGAATGACAGAGAAGGATACACAGGGAAGACTTGTATCACATAAAGAAAAATAATTATTTCCTTCATGAGAAACTTAATTCTAGGTTACTTACAGTAGCTGCCTTGTTGGGGAGGGGAGACATAAATTTGTAAATAGTGGTGGGTTTTTTTGTTTTTGAATATTTGAAAAGATGCTTCAAGCAATAATAAACTAGATGTGCAATAAATCTTGTCGAGTGGTAGTATGTGCTGGTTTCGGAAAGGTGAAAAGAGAATTGTAACATCAAGTGGCTTTTATATATCAAGCTAAGTAGGGGCATGCCTTTCCAAAGGGCGTATTTGATCCTACAGTTAATTTTAACATTTGGGCTGGAAGCTTAACCTCATCAGGAGTGGAACTAGATTTTGTGGAGTTCCCCTTATCCAAACTACAGTATGCTTAACTATTTTCTCCCGGCATTTTCCACATCTCAGCCCCCTAGGACCAGCTACTGGAGAGTCATTTTGTCCATTTTCATTGATCTGGCTACATAAGGAATATCCTGTTTCTTTAAATCCTCAATGCTTAAATTGCCATGTAGAAACCAACTCCCTATCAACGTTCTGCATTTAATCCTTGGCTTCTTGTTATATTTTCATTTTTCTGCACTCGTTCCCATGGCAACAAGTCTGTTAGCAGAGAAAGTATGACTCTGCTTTTAGCCTTCTGCACAAGACAAAATCCTTCTGGTGATCCTCAGGCGAGTATTATATAAAAAGTCAGGAACTGACTGCAGTTCCTTTGGCTAATGTCTCTAATATGTCACTCTCTTGTATGCATTTTCCACCCTATGCCCAAACCAGGCTTGAGAAAAAAAAGTATTCAAGGACCCTGTCAGTATCTCCTTAAATACTGACACAAGTATTCAAAGGCCCTCCTATCCAATCACAGCTGCAAAGACTGAATATTTTGGTTCAGATGGCTTTCCCTTCTCCCTAAGTGTCAATGACTTAACTGACATAAATGAGTAATTAATGACAAGGACTACTGGGAGCAGCATCAAGAAGCAACTTTCATTTTTCTATAAACACCCTAGGTAATAAGTATGTCCTGAATTGAGCCTTAAATCAGTATCTAATAAGGCAATGGAACATTGAAGCAGATTTTCTCCTGATGAGTAGTTAAGTGGCATATGAGGAGAGGCCAAGGCGTCACCCCACAGTTCTGAGCTCATAAAGAGGAAGAGATAACAAAGATGTAGATAAGAAAAGAGGACACTGTAACTGGTGGCTACATATGAGCAAGGGAGCTTATTCAGTTGGGACGATTCAGGGTTCAAGTACAAAAATGGCATGAAACCTACTGAAGAATAAGAAAATGGAGCATGGAGAAAGAAAGGGTTTTTAAGAGTTAACAGTCAGTAGAAAGGGAGCCTGCAAATGAGAGAATAGCTTCATGTAGACTTTGGCCCAACTCTGTCTACAAATTTGTTTAAGTAATGTTTCTCTTAATAACAGATGATATATTTTGTTTTGAACTTTGGAATTCCATTGTGGCTTGGCACTAAACTAAGCCTAGCAATCCTCAATCTCCTATGTCCTCAATATCTATAAACAAGCAGGAACTGTTTGTCAGAAATTAAACAGGACTTATCTGATTGTGCTTTTTTAAAAAAAAAATTAATTCAGGGGAATGAAAATATATGTTAGAAATAAAAATGTGGTTATCTCAGCTATAGATAAGAAAATTATCAAATGTAAATGATCCCTTTTTTGCTGATCTTATAAAATATGTGATAAATACATTGAAGTTTTAAAGTTATCTGCTTATATTGTACAAAGATATTTTTGGCTCTTTAAAGGTTATTTTCCTATATTAAGAAAAGCTTTCTTATATTAAAAACTTTTATTGTGACTCAGGTTTTGTGTCTATATATAGACACACATACATAGGAGGTGTTTTTCTTTGCACATTTGTTTTGCACAGCTAAAATAATGAGGTTAAATAATGCCCAGGTATGGTCAATTGACCTTTATAATAGCTAGCTTAAAGAAAGCATTTGACAAATGGACAAAAGAAATCACATTGTATTTCTTTGTATCTCTCTATTCCTCTTAACCTTCCCCAACCCTCTACTAAAGATTATGTCTTATTTAGTCAGGAAATCTTATGTAATTTTTTGGAAAGTCCATAGGAAAAGCAAGATGCAACTCTCAGGCAAACAGAACATAAAGCAGCTCCCATATGTGCTAGAAAGGTCATTAATCTTCAGAATATACTGTTGAAATAATTTTTATTTTCAATACTTATAGAGTTTTTACACTCAGAGGACTCTTACTGGTCTTGAATTTGGAAAAGACATCTGGTTCAGGTCAGTGAGGACTGTTGTATGTTAAGTTTTACTCCAGGAAATTTGGTTTTAGCTTTGGTGACACTTAGCATCAGTGGAATGCAATGAATGCCTAATATTTCTGCTTTATGTTTGGGCATTTCTCTTTAACATCCTCAAGTACACTTTCATCCTTGAAAATGCAAACCTATTTTCTGTTTGAAATGAAGAGAAAGGTAATTGATAGATAAACCAGATAGTTTTTGTTTGAAGAGCCAATCAAGTTTCTCTTTGTACTCAGTAGGGACTAAAGGAAGCCTAAGGATAATGACACTGTCTTCATATGAAGGAGAAATTTTTTACTAGTGGGAAATTAGAAGTAAATCTACCAAAATCTGTTTGTAAATTTTAAAGACCACCAAAAAAGACCTTGAAAAAAATAAAATTACTGCAAGATTACTGTTGGCTATTATTGAAAGTACTACAGTTTTATTTTTCCACTTTACAACCACCCAACGGCACACCAACCAGCTGTATATAAGAAAACCATAATATGAACTAGGCTCTTTCTATTAAAAAAGAAATATTACACTAACATGAACAGTTCTGAAGGAAGACAGTGGTAGGTTTTCAAATGGTTTGTTAAGAATTATATGTAAACAGATACTAGATACTATGTTTTGGATTTTTAAGTATGAAAATTATTTTGTCCTAAACTATTTGCTAATTGATTACCTTTGACCTCAGTTATTGTGGGGCATCATCTTTTTATTACTCTATAAAGAAGTTCTAATTCTACCTATATGAATTAGTATTTTCTCATGTGCCAAACGCACACACATAAATTTTCCTTTTCTCATTTCAGGAAATATTTCACTCTTCTATAAGTTTAAGAAAAATTTCTAAGCAGTGATACAACTTTGGGTCACTATTTTAGTAAAATGAAGACAGTCTCTAGACTCATTTTTTTAAATATCTGACTTCACTACCATATGTGCAGCACAACAGTGACATCTTAAGGCCAAGTAACCAGAGCTCCTTTAGCCAGAGAAAGAACTTGAGTTGGGATCTGATTTCAAAGAAATCCCAAGTCGTTTTCAAATTTACAATATTTGACTGGTAGAGAAAGTGCTTCTTTATGACTTCTTTTGCAGTCTTTGTGAACTTTTTAATGTGCATTAGTAAACATTGACATTTTACATAGACATACTGTATATTAATGCATGCATTTCACTGCATAGTTTATTGACACTCCCCTTGTAAAGCTTTTATGGAAGAACCAATAGGCCACAGCAGTATAGCAAAAGAGGCTTAATCTTTATAAATTGGGGCCTTTTCTGTCTCTTTGCTAGCCTAGGTGGCTGTAAACAAATTCGGGTGGGAGGGGGCAGGAAACACCTCTTAACATTTAAGGTTTTCTACTTGGGTGTACTCTAGCCAATTCAAAACAAATTGCTTACTTTAATAATGCAATTTTACCATTTTATAAAAAAATTAAATCACAACATGTTTAACTGAAATGGCTGTATTGTAATTAATATTTTGAGATAATTGTGATTTTGAGCTTAAATTATATATAAAAATTGTCATTTTTGTATGTGTTAAAAAGACTACTATATCACAATTAAAAGTACTTTTTAGTTGAACTACATATTGATGTAAATAAAACTGAATGAAGACATATTTACTACTTTAACATAGATTGTGAATGTACTTACTGGTTTTTTTGCAGTATGAAACCATAACAACCTTGAAAGCTGCTTCATTTTATGTGCAAAGTCCTATGAATCTATATTTTAAATTTACTGATCCTGTGAAATTAATTTCTTTGTCAGTTAATTTGCAAATGCGAGCTGTATTCTTCAGTTTTATGTATTGACACTAATTGGTAAAGGTGTACAATGTGATTAGAATGCATTTTGAAGATGCTTTCTGTACAGATACAAAATACAGGGACTAAAATAATGCTGTGCAGTGTATAGCAGAGCCATTTTTCGGCTTTGGTGTACTCAACTTTTTCAGTATTTAAAAAAGTGTTTTGAATAACATAAAAGTCTCCTTATTGTATAAATAATAAAATGTCACCTTATTGTAAAGTGTCTTTTGTTTACTATCAAAGCAGACTTCCTAGTCAGCAACAGAGCTGTAATAAGAAAAAGGCATGTTTTTGTTTTTTATTTTTTTGAGATGGAGTTTCACTGTTGCCCAAGGCTGGAGTACAGTGGTGCGCTCTTGGCGCTCTTACAACTTCTGCCTCCTGGGTTCAAGTGATTCTCCTACCTCAGCCTCCCGAGAAGCTGGGATTACAGGCAGATGCCACCATGCCCGGATACTTTTTTTTTTCTTTGATTTTTAGTAGAGATAGGCATTTCACCAGGCTGGTCTTGAACTCCTGACCTCAAGTGATCTGCCTGCTTTAGCCTCCCAAAGTGCTGGGATTTACAGGCATGAGCCCCTGTGCCCAGCCAAAAAGGCATGTTTTTTAAAACATAAACATTGTAATCAATATTTGAAAAATGTAACTTTTATTCTGAACATGTATTTATCTTTATTAACAATTTTTTTCATAATACAAGCATGCCTCCATCATCCAAAAGCTATCTAGCTACCTGTCTATAATAAATTGATAAACATGCTATTGAATTAACTTCTTAATAGAACCATATGGTGTTATAATGACTAATCAACCTACTTCTGAAAATTTTGGTATGAATAAAAATGTTTACATTTAACTTTTATTAAATCAAGTTTACCTGTATCAAATTCCCTTTTAGAAAAATACTGCAAGTTTAGTCTTACCAAGACTGCAAGTACATTTTAAAATTATGAAATAATTTTAGATTTTTAGGTTGAAATAAGGTTTTTAAGTTGAAATGTGTACTGAGATTAGCCACATTGCAAAAGTCCTTCCTGGGTAATGAGAAGTCTTATTTTTGTATCATTTTCTTCTCTTTTTCTTTTGACATGTGGCCCAAGATGAGAAGGTCTTATTTTTTAAATGCCAAAGTACAGTATTCAACAACATTTGATTCAGTATTATATCTAATAGAAAGGTAGAAAGTGGCTAGTTATATTCAAGTCAATTGGTCACATTGTATGGAATACAAAAGAAATGAGAAAAAAAACACAGTTCTAAGGAAATGCTTTGCAATTATAATATTAAACCACATTAAATAAAAATTCACTTTTGAAGAAGCTGCTTGCTATAAGAAAATGAAAGTTAGTAGGATAAATCCCATGCAAAACATTTAGAACAAATGTATGAACACATTGTGGTTATAACCATTACAAATGTACATAACACCTTACAAAAATCTTAAATAAAAATGTAAAAATATTTAAAGGTAGTGAATATGGCCCAGGCTAATTATACCAATGGGTAGGTGATACTGGGAAACTACAAGATCAATTATAGCAATCATCTTTTAAGATGATACTAAAACAAATGTTATATCCTCCTTAGAATTAACCAGGGTTAATAGAACATGAAAAAGGTTATAAAACAACTCCATGTTACGTAGGAATTCGGTCTCTCAAATATTCAAGTATAGCAGCTGTTCCTTTCATTAATATGGCTGCTCGAGGAACTCGGAATGGATTTCCATCCAGTAGTAATGTTCTAAACAAAAGAGAGAAATTGAGAATGTAAACATTTTCCATTAACAAGGTTTTTCTTCTAATTTCATTTGTAATTTTATAAATAAAATTTGTGTATTCTTTTTCTATTTGCCCCTTTTTTATTTCTTTTTTTGAGAGTCTTGCTCTGTTGCCTAGTCTGAAGTGCAGGGGTGCAATCTCAGCTCACTGCAACCTCTGCCTCCCAGGTTCAAGTGATTCTCCTGCCTCAGCCTCCCAAGTAGCTGGGATTACAGCACCCGCCACCACACCCAACTAATTTTTGTATTTTCAGTAGTGACCATATTTCATCATGTTGGCCAGGCTGGTCTCAAACTCCTGGCCTCAAGTAATCTACCCACCTCAGCCTCCCAAAGTTCTGGGATTACAGGAGTGAACCACCATCCCTGGGCTATTTGCCCCTTTTCAAATCTGAGCATTTAAACACTAGAATTATACTAATTAATAACCCAAAACACATTAATTGAATACTTGTTTTGTGAAAGCCACTGAGCCAGGTAATTTATATTCACTAACTCTTAACAATCCTATGATGTAAGTACCATTAATAGTTCTATTTGAATAGATGAGGAAACACAAATTTAGGGAGGTAAGAAATACTAAGATCAAATAGCTACTAAATGGTGGAGCTGTGATTTGAACCACCTTTTTATCCAGCCTTCTCAATGTTATTAAATGACTACATACTAAATGGTCAAGTAAGATTTAAACAAATATCAGCATGAGTCATCCAAGCCAAGGACTATAATGTAATCAATGTATCACCACCACTGCCCCACCCCCTGCCTCCCGAAAACATTAACACATTCCTGTCCTCTCCCTCCTTTGAGCACATATACATATATAAATCTATTTACATGTTCTGAGAGTTCAATATAAGATTTAAGAGTTTGTTGTTTCATTATATAATAAAATGTCTTCAACTGAGAGCTTTTGTATTAATTTTTAACAGTTAAGTGTTTATGTAAACAAAAATCAAAGGACTCACACCATATTGTTGATCTAAATTATATCTTCAAATATGTCTATGTTTCTTGGAAATTCTTTTAAAGATTCATTTTCCTAATTTCTAGAAAAAAAAGTTGATTACAGTTGATCCTCATTATTTGTGGGTGCTATATTTGCAAATTTGCCCACTCACTAAGTTTGTAACCCCCAAATCAATATGTGTGGCACTTCAGAGGTCATTCGTAAACATGCACAGAGGAGCAAAAGATTGGAGTCACCCCACGGGCATATTCCTAGCTAAGGATGAACAAGGTGACACTTTGCCCTCTTGTTTCAGCTCTTCTACTATAAACGGGTCCTTCTGGTGGTTCATTTGGTGTTACATTTTTCAAATTTTCATACCTTTGTCGGTTATTTCACTATGTTAAATGGTCAACAAGTGTAATGCCAAAATACTGTCTAGTCCTCCTAAGGACAAATGTGAATTATGAAAAAAATACATGTGTCAAGTAAGCTTTGTTCAGGCATGACTTATAGTGCTGTTGGCCATGACTTCAATGTTAATGACACAATAATAATATTAAGCGAAGTGTCTTACTACAGAAACACACATATTACAAAATTATGTATTGACTGGTTGCTGAAAATGTTGTGACTAGACTCTTGCAAGAACCTAACCCTGTATTTCCCCTAGGAGCGATAGATCAGTATTCACTAAGTCAGCGTTCAGACTGTCTATAGAACATAACTGCCACAAATAATAAGAATCAACTGTACTTGTCTCCTATAATTTACTAATATGAGGTACTAGAGCAGATACCAGTGTTGCCCCAGTGATGTAAAATATAGCAAATCATTAATATGCAGTTTTCAACAACTAAATTATTTCTGACACATTCTACTTAACCACTTGGCTTTCTGTTGATATCTCAAACTCCCTTTATATTCACTTAATAAGCACATACTGGGTGTTTACTATGTTTTAGGCACTGGGACAACTCTTTTCCAAAGAAAAACCCCAAAATTGTATAAATAAGCCCAAATGAAGCATGACGGGAAATCAGGGTAGGGACTAATTCCAGTTGGAGTACAAGGAATGCTTTCAAAGGTGACATTCATTGGTCAATTATGATGAAAACAGGGTAAAAGTACCTGATGCTGAGGGAAAGCAGATGTAAAGAGTACAGAAGACTATGCTGGGCTTGAAATAGGATAGTGGTACTCTGTAATCAATTTCAAAAAATCCTGTATTCAAAGCTAAGGAGTTAATATTTCCCTGACATTTTTACACAGTAGAGATTCAGGTTATAAACACAGTGATAAGCAAAGTGCCACTGGAAACAGTTATTATATTTACACATATATTTTACCATATGAGCAAAACTAAAAATATATATTTGGTAAAATGTGAAAAACAGAATTGGGACTCTGAGTTTTGTTACCTGTTATTTTTAACAAAATGTTAAATCTGTTACTTTAAATTTCTGCAAATTTACCTCAAAAGAAAACCAAATCACTTCAACAAATCAATCACATAAATGAAACAATGAAGTAGAATGGTGCAGTTACCTTAAGTTCACACAATTGCCAAGCTCTGGTGGAATTTGTAAGAGGTCATTATTTTGAAGGTCCAGCGTGGTAAGATTTTCCATCATCTTCATTTTCTGAGGGTCCACAGAACCAACCTGATTATTACTAATCAGAATTGTTTCAAGTGTGAAGATACGATATAGAACTTCAGGTAGCATTTTAAACCTATTAACACATGGACAGAACACCTAAATATACTGGAATCAGACGTCAAAAATCGTTCCTAAAACAGACGATGTTAAATTTGACATGACAATTTTTTCTTTAGTGTATGTTATTCTGTAATTGGCATAAGTTCTGTATTTGAATTTTACAAAAAATAAAGAAAAAGGGCTACTTTTGAAAACCTTAAAATACATATTAAGCAGACAGACTTGTAACAATTACTACTTGTTGTATAAAACCAGCAAAAATTCAGAGTAAATTCTCCTGTTTTTCTGTTCACATTCAAGAGAAGAGGAAACCTTCTCTGGAAATTCTCCCTATAATGTATCCATGTAGGTATTCTTCCATTCACTTTTACTTCTTATGAAACATAATCACTCAAAACATATTAAAATTTGAGATTTATAGTTTGCTTTGACTGAGGCTTCCAAAATGAGTACACGTTGGGTTCTTAAAAAGACAACAAACTAGCACAGACTGTGGGCTTTCTTGTCCAAGCAACCCCAAAGATGCCACAAGATATAAGGTGGCCAATATAGGTCAAAGCAATACTTGGAGTTAACACAAAATGGTGAGGAACCCTTGGCGGACAAAGGCTAGCATAGTTTTAGCATGAGGTAAACCTGAGCCTTCACTAGAAAATACAAGAATGGGCAGAAGGAAAGCTTTAGGCTTTTCACTTCCCTATACTGCCCCATTCCTTTGCTGCCTTGATGTAAAAAAAGCAATAGTGAAGTGCTGAAGTTCCAGTGAGACT